TTCACGTTGAAACTTCTAATTCTTTTCTTTCGAAAATATAGTTTTCATTGTTAAACGCTTTAAAATGGTTTAAAATTGACTTGCCTTTGGTTTACACAACTGTCTCTGTATTCTACTCTGATGCACTTTAGGTAAGTTCAGGTTTTTTATATTGTGTTTTCATCCATGTTTTCCCTGGAAGTTCAATCTCTGGCGTTGTAACTGCTGTGTAGTGATCACAGATTTCCTGGTTATAAACTGTGAACATCTATGTTTACGCGTGAAGTCTACTTCTAATATGCATTATTTATCAATGTAAGTAAGCCACATATCATGTTGTGTAGAGGAGCTTCCCACCATGAGGGAATATTATAACCACTTATTATATGCATTAATCCATCTTCTTGCTTCATCTCTGGATATAATTTCACAGCTTTTACAACCAGCTAAGGTCAAATAATTATGGCTGTACAACCAGTGTTATTCAAAATGTTACAAAGCTTCCCACTAAAGAAACCGTTGACTCGTGGACTGGTACTTTTTGTTTTTGTTTAATTCTTGCAATATTTGAACAGAGATTTAAACTCCTAGCAATATCTGGAATATGGATTGCTCACTAGCGTGGCCAATTCGCAATACCTTCGAGGCTATGAGGGAGCAAAAAATATAGCCCTATCCAAAATTACACAAAACATACGGTAGTAAACGCACATGTTATGCAATACAAGATCTGTTTTCGCAGCCCTGCAAAACTGTTTTCTCCGCAGTTTTGCGAGTTCTGCCTATAGAGATGATTGAGAAAGGCTCAACAAAGCTTACTTGTCGTTGTAAGGTGGCTAAGTGCGATCGATACCTGCCTGAAATATACGTCAACCAGGGCCTGATTAAGGTTTATTGGGGCCCTAGGCTCAAACTTTATGTTAAAACATGTTATATTGGATATGACTAAACTACAGTTATAGTTCTAGGGTGTTTTAGTTTAAGAGCAATGAACTGTAGGTTCAGCAAAATCAACTTTATTCAAACATTTATCGTTTGAAATAATTTTCAAATTATCTTAGAAGCTCGCTCTGTTTTTAAACTTTTTAACCTTGGTTATCTCTTCTTGAAACAAAATGTGCCTATTAACATTGTGCTCTTCTGTAACCCCATAATTCAGAACCCTTATTCAATTACTTTTAGAAGTAACTAACATAAAACCGTCAAAATGAGTTTATAACTCAGAAAATGTTAGGTTATAATAAACTTACTTTAATAACGCCATGCTGATTACAGAGTGGAAAATTGATGTATTCGACGTTGAAACTGGTTGTACGCATGTGTGATGTACTCGACGTTGAAATTGGTTGTACGTATGTGTGTACCATTATTACAAAAGTTCTGTACTAAACACAGCACTAACAGTAAAAAATAATAATTTAGGATTATTGATGTCAATATTTCATGCTAATGCTCCATAGGTTATTTTTATGGCTGGTTTCCGTATGAGATACATCTGGTAGAAATCTTAGTGAAAACACGTTCAGTAGAGTTGTTATCTTTCTTACATTGTATGAGGTAATTCTATAACTTTCCTTTTTTAAATTATTATGTCTTTATCAAACTTAACAATTTTATTGTTTGTGCTTAATATATTATTAACTTTTGCCACGCAGGCGCTCTTATTCATAATCACCTTTCCATTTACCTTATGCATTTTATTTGAGCAAAATCTGTATCTTTTGATGAGATTGAAAAGAGCCTGGTGTACTTCAACTGATAAATTGTGTTTTTCTTCCAAAATACATATATAAAAATATAATGTGAACAAATTCAAGTTTTAATATGAATTTCGGTATTACGTTAGAAAGAATTATTAACATAAACTCAATCTTTCACGTACTTTAATAAAACAAAATTAAAATAAGTTATTAAAAGGAAACCTTCACGGAACTAACCTAAAAGTTAAACCGTTAGCTGATTTTCTTACCTAAATCTATTAGCTGATAAGTTGATATTTTTATAGTCATATCTTGCGTCTCGTTTATTCAATAAGACGGTCATATTGAATAAAATATTGCAATTCTCAACAAGTTCGTGCGTGCGTGCAACTGCTCTGTTCTCCTAAATGTTAGTAGGATTAGTCTCCTGTAATTACCGATCAAAGTCCATGCAACTGAGCAATGTTTTTAGGAAAATCATTAAAATCAACAATGTTGTTGTTGTTTTACTATTAAGCACAAAGCTACACAAAGAGCTATCTGTGCTCTGCCTACCACGAGTATCGAAACCCGGTTTCTAGCAGTATAAGTCCGCAGACATACCGCTGTGCCATTGGGGGGCAAAATCAACAATAAAGTGAAAATATAGAAACTTGGAAAATAATTATCGATACACTCATTTCGTATCAACTCAAATGCTATTAACCAACGTAGACTAACATATCAGTTCACAAAGAATCTACAAGATTAATAATTTTAATTTAGAAATATGCCAGTTTGATGTCAGCTTCGGCTTAACTCAGCCAATCCTCTAAAATGTTACAAGTATTTTTTCATAATTATGTGATTGAAGACTGGTTTTGTGGTCATGAAAAACGAAACTGTGTGTAATATAGTCATTTTAAATAAGACAGAAATTATAAACAGATAATACGAAGTATCCAGACGATAGAAAGTAATAGCCGGGCTCACTTAGCAGAACAGATTTGGTGGTCTTAAATAAGTATAACTTGCATATACTATTTCAGTTGTAGAAGTCCAAAAATATCGTTGAAATATAAAGTTAAATTTTGAGAACCCAGTACCCCCTGAAAAAACGAAAGCTAATAAAATTCCTTTTAATTACATAGCTAGTTGTATTTATAATCCTTTAAAATATAATAAACAATATTATATTATAAAAATATATCCAACTTCCTATTCAAATTTTATATACAAGTCGAATAAGTATAAAAGGTTTACTATTATAACTGTCGCTTGAATATATATATACATAGATAGATAAAGAGAGAGAGTTTCGTACGTTTACACGACGAAAATTATTCAGAACAAAAACATTATATAAACCAAGAAATGCAGTCAAAATTCAATATATATATATTGTTGCATACAAGGTCAAAATATAGATATGTTAAAAGACAAAAACCACAGAGATCCCTTAAATATAAAGATTCACAGGATACTGAAATCAATGTTCATCTCTAAACTTAGTCATATATATATATAAGGATGTTCTAAGATATACTAGTAGAATACAAGGTATTTTTTGTGATATATTCATTTAATTAATATCGTTATATTCGTACAATACCACAAAATATTACCTGAGTTATATGAGTGACAGTTAATTCAGTAACGTAGTTGATGGTGTACTTCTAGTGGTCTGCCTTCCATCTGACCAATAGTTTAAAACTAAAAACTTCGAAAGATAGTATTTTGTTTGTTTGGCAAAGCTATTAAGGCTAAATATCGTAATATTCAGATTCGTATGGTCGACAGATCTTATGCTTCAATGTCAATTTTGTAAATCTTGTGTTCGTGATTCGAGAAGTACTAGAGATACGAGAAGTATCATACGTACGAGAAAAAATAGAAAGGGTCAGTTCTAGAGCTTCAAGTTCAAGAAGCGTTTTTGTTGTACGTAAGTAGACTGGACGTTACTTTTTAGGAAATAATCCAAAACGATCTGCCCATCAGTAGAAGCAGTTACTACAATATCATACAACACCAAATAAAATGCAATTGTAAGAAATTCAACAGTATTGTTTAGCTGTATGTCACGTGATAATGAATGACAATGATTCTTGTAAAAGTAAACGTCTGACGAAAATAACCATTCATGCATTATAAGGGATATAATACAACATCAAGGATCTTATCCAGCAATCTAAGGAGTTCTAAAAGTAAACGTCTGACGAAAATAACCATTCATGCATTATAAGGGATATAATACAACATCAAGGATCTTATCCAGCAATCTAAGGAGTTCTAAAAGTAAACGTCTGACGAAAATAACCATTCATGTAAAAAGTAAACGTCTGACGAAAATAACCATTCATGCATTATAAGAGATATAATACAACATCAAGGATCTTATCCAGCAATCTAAGGAGTTCTAAAAGATTATTAAAACTTATAAACTGTTCTACACTAAATTATGTTTATCTTACTTCACTGAAACTGTTATAATTTAGGTGAAAAAGTCATATCCATTCTACGTTGATGTGCTAATTTAAAATATCCAGATGAAAGGAGGATATACTTTCACCTGGATTGATTAAATGTCGTATTAGAAATAAATAAACTTCATGAACACAGCAGATTATCGTGTGTAAGAGAACGGCCCAGACGACAAACAAAGTTTATCTAATTTAAATAGAACATTCAGAGATCACTTGTGTCCCCTTTTTTTCATCAATCACATTCATCATTATATTCTTTCGCAGTGAGGTTTTATTGGATACATTTAACGTTTATGGATAATTCGTAGAATGTGTCAAGAATAAGACTGCACATTCGTAAACAATTAGTATATTTTACACTTGCTCCCTCACGAATAATTATTAAGTTCAACAACAGAAACTTGCTTGAGTTCCATTCCTTCCAGGTTTTATCATTCTACATATTCATTCAACATCTTGAATACACAATTACATATTCATTACATCTTGCTTGTTGCCAAACAATCTAGAAACTTCGAGATACGAGCCAAGACAATTACACCAAACACTGCTAGAGCCGACGAAAGCTAAACCTGTTTGTTTGTTTGTTTTTGACTTTCGCGCAAAGCTACACGAAGGCTATCTGCACTGTCCTTCCCTAATTTAGCAGTGTAAGACTAGAGGGAAGACAGCTAGTCATCACCACCCACCGCCAACTCTTAGGCTACTCTTTTACCAACGAATAGTGGGATTGACCGTCACATTATAACGCTCCCAACGGCTGAAAGGGCGAGCATGTTTGGTGTGATGAGAATTCGAACTCGCGACCCTCAGATTGGGAGTCGAGTGCCTTAACCACCTGGCCATGCCGGGCCGAAAGCTAAACCTCAAGAACTTTTTGGTATTAAATGTTTCACATAAAAACGATATTTACAAATGAATTTTCTTTTATAATGTGTATAGAATTCTGATGCTTATCAGATAAAAACAAAACATCACCGTAACTACACGGATTTGTCATCATGAATTATCACTTTCATCTACAGGTCACAAATACTCGTGCTTTCGTTTAACCTCTATAAACTTCTAACCATAATCTTTATATTTTGAGCAACTGCGTTTAATTTCTGGTGTTAGTGAAGGATATTATATTAGTTATATCATCAACATCAAGACATTACTGTTAAAATGGAACATCGATAGTTTTACTACCGATACTTCCGTTGGTACGGTAATAAACATTACGGAACGGAAAGAAGAGAAGAATTATTTACGGACCCGTCACGAAATACGCATCTATTTAATGAATTATGTAAACATAGAAATAGGTTACATTTGAGCTTCAGATGTACAACGTTGCACTATAAGTACAAAGACCTGAACAGATAGATATACACATAGAGAAAATTACAACTCAAGAAAAAATTGTTACTGTATATCGCTATTATAGTTGATTCTATGGGGAATTTCTTTATAAAAGAACCTACGAATTATGCTAAAATGGAGAAGTTTTGGTTTCCTCAGAAGTGTAAGTATTTAATTTAGTGAATTATGTAAAGTTTTCTCAACTGTGGAACTCCTTAGGTCATGCGTTATGAAGAGGGTTGAAATGATAAGAAAACTCTTGTTTTTCTTCATGTGCTTTACGTTTTTGTCCGTCTAATGAACTATCAAGTGTTTGTAAGTTGCAAACTTTCAACACTCCGTAAGGAAGAAGATGTCCCCTTCGACGATTAGAGAAAACAGCGTAGGATATCCATGCACCACATGTGAAAGCAAAAGATAAGATAATCAGTATCCCAAAAGTTTCTGTCCATGGTATTGCTATCACCAAAACAAACTTAACGAGGTCCATCGTCATATTGAGGCTATACTGGACACCACTGACCACTCCACGCTCTTTTTCTTCTACTAATTCTTGAAGAAACTGGTTGACTGTCATGTCCAATAACCACAATCCTGAAAGCATTTTGTAAACGTGAGCAATTGTAACTCGAAGCAACGTATTTAATGTTTTGGTGTGAAAATTTAACAGTAATATAAAACATTAAGGAACAGAGTTTTTTTTATATATCATAAGATCGCTTACAAAGGAACTGGTTCATAAATAGACGTTTGCGAACTACAAATCATAATAAAATCTGCCTTAAAGAAATACCGATACCATTAAGATAAATAATCTTAATAAACTTAAAACATTAATGTAATTTAAAAATATCTAAATAAATTTATAAATTCCAGATAAATATTTATTAATTTAGATTGATTATCTTTTGATCTGATTACAGAACAAGATGCTTGGAGGCACGATCTATCTACTGTCCATACATAATAATCTACATTTTATCCAAAGTACGTTTTTAACAACTGCAACTTTATTTTTTGTTAACGTCAAGTTGTTGTTCACAATCCCATTAAACTTACCTGTTCGAGCTGCTATCATTCCAGCAAGAAAGACGATGACAGATGTGTACATATAACCTGTACTGATATCCAGAGTCTCTACAAGAGTTGTGAAATCATCTTGTGTGGCAGATTCGTCAACTGAATTGGAATTCAAATACGACGTCGATGTTTCTATTCCGTAAAATTCGGTAACGTTATCAGAGATGGTGGTAGAGTTCTTGGTAAAAAAGGGATCAAAGGGGCTTCCTGGAAGCCATATGGAAATAACACATAGGCTAGCGCAACATATTTGAGAAAACAAGCCAAACAGTCCTGTTCTTTCTAGACCCACACGTTTTCTCATAGCTGGATATGCGATAGTACCGATAACTCCTGTAAAGCCAGCTAATCCAGTCATTCCACCCATCACTGCTTCAGATACCCCTTGTGTGTAGCAATAACCTGTATTTTATGAGAAACTATAAGTAGAAATCATTCTTAGACTGAATTAATTTTAAACAAAGAGCCAAAAAAGTTTGGATTAATTTCCACGAAACATATTTCTATATGGATGAGATACGAGAACGCGACACTGTCTACATTAATAAACAGAATTTAAGTATTGTTAACGCAGGTATCTAGTTTTCCTGCGGCTCAGCCATTATCAATTACTTCAAGAAATCTTTGTGAAATAAATTACTTTCAAGATGACGTTGTTATCTAGATGTCTTTTGAGCATGTTGACCAAACATCAATTTGCCCAAGACAAATCAGATATCACTAACACAATACACAAAAGTCAAACAAGCATTCTGAAACATATCAACTGTTTCTTAACCATATTAACTGGCAACTTGATTCTAGCCTCAATATTTTAGACGATGAACTGTAGTAAGTCTATATCGTAGCATAAAATAATTCTAATGTTGTAGCTATCTATGTATACACCAAAATACGTAAAGGTATCCATCCAACAATGTACATTATTACATTGCCGGTTATACGTCACCTATAGTTATGCTGTCAAAACCTAAGACAGTCATAAACAAGAAAGCAAGCCCCAGTCCTGCAGGGCAGACTTCATGGGAAAAATAAATCTTCCATCCTCCAAAAAATTCAAGGAAATGCCTTTTCACAGACGAACAGCAGCCGGAACGTTGATGCTCGACCGAATTTGTGGCTAAGAAAGACGAAACAGGAAAACTTTCGTTACGACACAGAACCTTATGTGGTACTAGTCATTAGTTCTATTTTTTATTACCATTGTGTTCGAAAGAAAATCCGCAACATAAACATATAACTGGCAATATCAGAGGAATCTTCTAATTAATCCGGTTTAATTAGAGTAATGAATATGTATTACTTAAAAGAGTATGTAAAGTGAATTGATTATAAGAACATGTAAGCTGGATTGATTGAAATAACACGTAAACTCGATTAATTTTAAGAATAATTAAACCGAAACAAATTTAAGAGTTATTTAGTAAATTAGATTAAAAATAAGACTAAACAAACTGGATTAATTATAAGAGGATATAAACCAGATTGATTATAAGAATATGTAAACCGGTTTGAACAAAAAAAAATATGAAAACCGTATTCATCATAAGTGTTATAATTTTCCGGTTTACATACTCTTGTTTAAATTGGATTACACACGACCTGTAATTAGAAAAATTGATTCTTTTGTTTATTGCTAAGCACAAAGCTACACTTTGGGTTATTTGCGCTATGCTCGCTTCCGGTATCGAAACTCAGTTTTAGCGTTATAAGCACTCAGACATACTGCTGAGCCATTGGGGAAAGTTTTGATTAAACATATAAATTAAAAAGCTTAAGATATTGAACTTCAACTACATCTATAAGTCAGGTTTATATGCTAATTAAAATAACATTTCTTTCTTCTGAAGTAGGTCGATTTTATTTTTTACGTTTAATTCACTTTTCTTAGTTTGAATTTTACATGTGCTGCTTGATATATTTTAAATTATAACGTATTTCACCACTTAAAACAAAAGAAGAAGTTTTGCTTATGGTTATAAATGTATAAAAATAAACTTGACACAGCTGCCTGTAGTTTCTTATAAGATTCTCTCAGAAGTATTATTCTAATATGAACCGCAAACGTACTTAAAATTTTGGAGAAATCTTGAGCGAGTAATGAAGCAAACTTTATTATAAACGTACAACGTTTCGTACCTGATGATATCATAATCTTGTCGAAACATTGTATATTTATGATAAAGTTTTCTTCATTACCCATTCAAGCCGTTTCCTCGGCATCAAATTTAAATTCAGAACTTTAAATTTATAACGCGGTCTTAGAAATGTTCTAGTGAGGATTAAGAGTGTCATTCTCTAAACTATAACATTTCCTCATAATTACCATTATAATTAATAGAGTGCGTATTCTTTTAGTTTTCTATAATTGTGTTACTTTTCTTATATGCGACATGAATTTTTACTTAGCAATTTGCGAGATGTGAGATTAAAGTTATGCGTCTTCATGGTAGTTTGTAGAGTCATTTCACAAACTATATTTTTTAATCACAAGAAAGATTTTTAAATACCTAAAATGAAAAACTGTTCATCTTCGCTGTAGGAAATGTTCATTTTATGGGCACTGCTCAGAGGAAAAATATTTCAAATTTTTAGAGACTTACCATTTTAAGTAAGAAAACTAGATTTTGCGTAAATAGCCTATTTGTCCGGATTTTATAGATAACATGATATATTTTTTATGTACCCTACTTAGAAATTGTTCACTTGATCAAAATTGAATAAATTATTTTGACGCTAAGACATGTAGTCATATTTGACAAGTTTTTTTTATTTTTTTTACCCCATTGAGAAAATTTCCTTCAGAAGATTCAAAGTTAATACATCTCCCTGTGGTCCAGCGGTAAGTCCGAGGGCTTGTAGTGGTAAAATTGGGTTTCAATACCAGTGGTGGGCACAGCACAAATAGCCCATTATGCTGCTTTGTGTTTAATAACAAACAATTAAAAAAATCGCACATTTCCAGTTCTTTAGGTTTCAAGGTTTATTATATTTATATATTTCAGTTTAGTTCCACTGATAAATGAATTCAGATCTTTCCAAAGAAGTGAAATATCTTATTTTAGTTGAGAGTTATTTAACTACATGCAATGTTTAGCCCAATATGATGAAATCATGAGCAATATTTCTTTGAATCTATTACGCAGTATCAAATATCTGTACAATTTATTTAACTTTGACCCCTATAACAAGGTTACTTTACGTAGATTATATCATATGTCAACTGGTTTCTATAAATCATTTAACACTTTCTAAAAAGTATATGGCGAGTAGTAATAATTAGGTACTATGTGATCCATCGACTACAAATTATATACATCTTATTTAGGGACAGTTATCCTCCGATTTTTCTATATTTGAACGTTTTGTGAAGATATCAAGACTAAAAGTCAATCTGGAGACAAATGCTGTTTTTTATTGTGAGCTTAGATGGTGATTGGGTTCTGTTTTCGGTTTTTGTATTGGACTAACAATTTCAACTTATTAGGAATTTCATTCACCATATATTTTCTGTTGAATAAAACATAAGTTAACGTTTTACCGATATAATTAATATGGAAGCAAAAAAATAAATAAATAAAATAAATGAACGTTTCTGGAAGATTAACATTTCTTAAAACTTTTTTTTGTAATTAATCTTGTCTATAACATGTTTCGAACACTCACTTAAAGGTGTATTTAATTACTTAAATAATTTCTCCTTTGAATATATATGGAAATTACGGAAGGATAAAACTGCAAGGAAAACATTTTACAGTAATTATAAATGGGGTGGGGGGCATATGATAGATATTTATATTGTGTACAAAACTGCCTCACTGAATATTTTAGTTCCTTCGTTGAAGAATGCTTATGAATGGACTGTACAGAAAATGAAACATTAAAAGTCATAATAATTAATTTTGGAAAGAAGTAAAAGCACGGCGAGCCTCTATTCAAATTTATATTTAAAGAAGGATTGTTTGTTTGTTTTGAATTTCGCGCGAAGCTACACGAGGGCTATCTGCGCTAGCCGTCCCTAATTTAGCAGTGTAAGACTAGAGGGAAGGCAGCTAGTCTTGGGCCAACTCTTGGGCTACTCTTTTACCAACGAATAGTGGGATTGACCGTCACATTATAACGCCCCCACGGCTGAAAGGGCGAGCATGTTTGGTGTGACGGGGATTCGAACCCGCAACCCTCAGATTGCGAGTCGAGCGCCTTAACCACCTGGCCATGCCGGGCCTTTAAAGGAGGAAGATATGGAGGCAGAAATCATATGGTATAATGTCTCAAAACTGTTGGTGAGGAAATTATTTTTAAAATGGACTATTTTAAAGAAGGGGCTCGTATAATTAACGCCATAATTTTAGAAAATAGTAGTTTAAAGATATATGAACGCTTAAGCAACATATTTAATATGAATTATATAATGTTTTATAACTCATAGATAGGTGTCTACGGCATAAACAATTGGAAACAAACTCTGCGAGATTTAGCATTAATTAAAATAACACAGACTCTAGGATATAATTTAAGTTATATTTCTACCAAATAAAATATAGCTCTCCCGGTGAGGCAGTGCTGAGTTTAGGGACTTACAACGCTAAAATCCGAGGTTCAATTCCCCACGGTGGACAGAGCAGATAGCCCAATGTGACTTTGGTCCAAACAAACAAACTTATATAATAAAATAATCCGTATGCGGGACTGTTTAATTATTGCTATACATGGGAGTTTTCGCGATCTATCATAACGGTAAAATAGGTGCCTGGCCTTATAGACCCTTCTTACACCACCGGTGGTGTTCTATATGATATCCCTGGTTATGGACTATTGGAAACCAGCTTATTTTCCATTGCAAAATACGTTTTCGCAATACACAAATATCAATGTACTCCTCCCGCTCTTTATATGCTTTCCAAAGTCCATCAACCGTGCGCAGACGACGACGTTTGAGCAATCCATAGACGCAGAAATATTTGGGAAATGCTGTGAAAGGTATAGCATGAATTCCCCCTTGTACATTATTTTACAAAGGAACTGGTTGTTGACATGGCCTTGTGGTTCAATGTTTTGTCATGGTGGAGCCACATTTCAGTGGAATCCAATCCATACAAAGACTGTAGTTGCTCACGGTATAGTGTTATCCTGGTAGTAGTTGGAGATCAAATTCGCATTTGTCTCGACAATTTTGGTATTTAACTTACTAATAAAACTGTCTGTAACTATCTTGGATAATGTTTCGAAAACATTTATCATTTTAACTGTATAACCAGCAAGACGATAATAATTTGTCTGGATTTATTGACAAGACAAATTATTCTCCTTATCTCTGTTAAACTCACATATCTAAATAACTAACAATCATGCAGTCTAATTTCACTTTTTCTTACTTGCTTTACTTAGCTTGTGAGCCCCCCAGTGGTACAGCGGTATGTCTGCGGACTTACAACGCTAGAATCCGGGTTTCGATACCCGTGGTGGGCAGAGCACAGATAGCCCTTGTGTAGCTTTGTGCATAATTAAAAACAAACAAACAATACTTAGCTTGTTGGTTACCACAGTTGTATCCAGAGCTTTAAATAATTATCAGTTACTTTAGAAACCTACTTCAAGTTGTAAAGACCTTTTACTGACTTTTATCAGGTTTTACATATGTCACAATTCTTATGCTAATTTTAGTGCTCTTATAGAAGAGAAATGAGATTTTCATTAAAAACATCAACATTTGCAACATACTAATTTTGATATTCTACAAGTCCCTTAAACAACGTATTCAACACGTGGAAATGTATATAATTATTGGCCTCTCTTCTGGTACAATATTTTTATTAGTAATGTTGACAATACATATAACAAAAAACAAAATCGTCGCCAATAGCATCTCTAACGGCAGAAATTATCAGAGCTAAACTTTTCTAAAACCGATAAAAAATACACAAATCTCTTATACTGCTATTTTCAATTAATAACGTATTTCATTTCTTATTAATATATACTTGCTAAAAATCCTATGACTAAGGATATTTACCACCAAAGACTGTACCTAGATTTAACGACTGTAATATTGTAAAATAATGTTATGCCTACGAAAACTCCTGGTTTTTTTTATAAAAGAAAAGCAAAAAAGAAACATATTGTTATTCAATTCTAGTAAAATGATTAGATATATTGTGAACTAAAAACTGTGCTAATAATTTCTATATTTTGTTTCCACTTGCGCCATCTAGTGGTACATAAGTAACTTGTAAAACATATTGAACTGTGCGGAAACGTACTGCGTGTAACTATAAAATGAACTAGTAAAATGTATTTATCATTGCTGCATGTTCATTGAAAATAGCTGTTAAGAAACACGAAAACCCCCTGTTTAAAATACAAAAGAGAAATGAGAAGAAACTAATTTGAAATTCTCTACCTGGGACTTCTGCTGGAGCCTTCACTGCCAGCTGAGGAACACTTTTATATACTCTCCAGAGCAACCAATATTCAAAGAAAACTCCAATAAAGTTCCAGCCCGCTAAAAAGATGGCTGCAATTATGGATGACAAGGTCATAATCTGACCAACGAGTAGTGGAGCTAATAGTTTGGCTATCAGGTCAATTCTTCTCATCATGGCATTCATTTCTGAAAATATAAAGATAAATGCATGATTATGTCACTTTTTTTTTTAATCTCGTACAAAAATTTAAAAAAGTCCGTCTACTGAGTTAATTTATGATCAGTGAAAATAACACCAATACGTTGTGTATTGTACCTAACAACCAATTCAATTTGTCGTTAAGGTTATCATCTTTAGAATAATGTATCAATTTTTACACTTATGAAAATAATTTTGCTTTATTAGTTTAGTATATGAATCTAGATCGAACAAATATTTGTCACCAGTTAATAGTTGGTTGTTTCCTCCTGCGATTACAGGCACCCAGTCTTTCTCTACACAGATGGTGTTAGCCACTGAAGCTACCTGAGCGAGGACGGCGGTGAGGATGACATAAATCTGGGCCACCACGTCTAGCCATCCCTGCCAAGTGGACTTGACAAAGTCCGGAAATAGAAGTATCAAACACAATCCTACAGCACAGAGTACAATCATGCTATTCTGGACTATCAGAGAATTCCTGGCGGCTGGAATAACAAACAAATCTATTAGGTCTTTCGACATACCAGATACAATGTATCTATGGGCATTTTCAAAACCTAAGAAAGCGAGGGAAGCGTTGCAATGCCGAGTCACTAAAACACTACTTTCTGTTACCATAGAGCCACTAGTGTTGTCTTCTAACTTGTATCATATGAGCCATAAGTGTTGTCTTCCGACTTCTTGTGTGTATGTACGCGAATATATATATATATAATTATGTGTGTGTGTGTGTATATAAGAATAATTATGGTTTTTCAAGACTCAATTTGATTTGCATCAGACGGATGCCCTTCGAAAGTACTCCTTTTGTTACACTACCACAAATTACAATAATATAAACCAATATACTCAAAGTACAGCCTAAACCGGATTATTAACATTACAACATATTTCACAATTGGTGAAATTTAATGGTAGCTTTTAATAAACAGTGAGACTCATTTATTCAAGGCTTCATTTTGTTGTGAACTTAAAATGATGTTTTACTTAAACTGTATTTTTTTCAGAATTCGCACAGATTTTCTTTCTTCTTTACTATTTTAGACGGGTTTCGTATCCTGTCCAGAAGTTGCTTTATAGAAGCTAAGTTTGATAAATAATACAAAAAACTCCTAAACCTTGAATTTTCGGATAAATACTTTTATTCTGAACATTTCAGCTTTTTTTAATTTACATGAATTCCTCAGCGGTAGGTTTGGGGGCTTATAATGCTCAAGTTTCACGTTCAATCCCTGCATTGAGCAACGTACATATAGCCTATTGTGCGGTCATGCGCTTAAAAACAGACAAAACCCTTGTAAAGTTCGCCCCGAAAACTTCCCTTTATTAAATTACACTTTTTTGAAATTCTAAATACTTACCTTTCAACCGTGGATTGCGATCTACCCAATTACCAATAGAGCTTCCAAGGATGATGACTGACAGACTAGCTGCAAGTCCAAAAATAGCAGTTACCCGCAATGACGAAGGATACAGTTGAACTAAGTAAAGACCAACAGCAAAGGTCCACATACGGTCTCCCTGCAATCCACAATGTACAAAATTTGTAGATTTAAACCAGTAAAATAATGTAAACGCATCTTTACTGGCGCAAATTATACAACTGTAAATTATAAATATACATTTTTCGACCACATACAATACACATAAGTATAAATACTCCGTTAACAGGGATACTCTAATTCACAGACACCTGAAACACAGGTGGATAACAGTTTACACAGAAATTAATACGTTTAATATCATAACCTGGGAAAGATATCTCTTTCGCGACAAAGTACTTAACATTTCCTGTAGATCATCAAAAACATATGTATTAAGTAAAATCATTATTATTTTAATATTCTTCTTAATAAAACATTTAACAGTTAGTTTTATTTCAATAAAACTTTAATATATTTAATCTATATACACTTAGATCTATGTTTGCAGTCCGTAGGCAACATATAGAACATAAATCACCACATTTAAGACAGAAGCCGAGGGACAATAAATTTGAAAAATTTTAATTAATCATGTGATTTAAAAATACAATGATATTGAGATTAAGATTACAATCATAAAAATATATACATATTAGTAATCGCTTGTGCCTAATAACATAGCTGGCAATTCGTGAGAAAATTCTTTTAAAGGCTTATAACAATTAAAAGGTTAGTTTGCCTTGATTTTACATATTATTCTACTTATTTCTACACGTTCTTGTTGTTTAGCACAAAGCTAAACAATGGGCTTTCGGCGCTTTCCACCGTGGAGAGTCGAGCCTCAAATCTTAACGTAGTAAGTGGGTAAACATACCGCTGGCTCACTGGGGGATCTTATCCGTATTCAATGTGTTTTAAACATACTCGTTCTACAACTTCTGTTCAGTTACATGTTTTGCTTCTATGCTGAATATTATACTACATAAATACCTTTTAAAAACTCAAATGAAACTCCGAGTGTTGCTTATATATATATATATATGTTTCTGTGTTTAACAGTCGTTGGTTTAAGTGTAAGTTTTCTAACTGTCGATATTGATCTTATAATTACTGGTAGATGTGCTGAAAAAATATTAAAATTTTAAAATTCCTTATCGGTAAAGTATTTTACCACAAAAAGCAACATATGAAACTTCTTTTTTTATTGTTTCTTTAGGGAGGGGAGAGCGAAAATTCACTATTCAATACTGCTCCGGCCTCTATGTGCAAATTATTTCGTCAGCGTTGTGTTGAAAGCTAAGCTTTTTATGTATATTTTTACGAAAATCGTTTAATTATGGTAAAATATTTTTTATTTAAAAATATACCACTAGAGATTGTTTTAAAGAAAATAGGATTACAGCTTCACAGTTTGAAAATATTAGTATTGAGATGAACATTTATTTGATAATTTGCTTTATAATACAAACACATAATACATACAAACTTCATTTGCATAATGCCACCAGCCTCTAGTCCAACTACTACGAGCTCTTTACATCGTTTGCGTTCTATCTTTTAATAATACATTCTTCCAAATCAATAATTTAATTTTGCTCCCCAACAGTACTTGGTATACTGTTTTACTAATTATACTACAGTTTTCATGTCTGTTTTACAGAATTTTTAATATAAAATGAGAGTAAATACAATTAAACTTTTCGTGAAATGAAAGGTGTTTAATATAGCAGAATTTTAATTAGCGATTACAGATTTTTCATATCAAGTAACACACAAGATTTTGAAATTGTTTGACCATTCCCTTATATTCAAAGTATCAGTGAAAATTATTTAGAATTCTCAGCTCGGTAAGGATTCAAGTCGCTTATAATATGTAACTCCTCACAACAAAACTTTGCCCATCGTAAAATGGACAGGTTATTATTTAAAAAGGTTGGTGTTGTGTTCAAAATTGATTGCAACAATTGTGACTTGTTATACAAGTGTTGTTATTTTATTGAATTTCTGCGCTGGCTGTCCCTAATTCTGAAGATACATACTAGAAGAAAGGCAGTTAGTCAACATCACACAATGTCAATTCGTGGACTACTCTAAAAGAATCTTCTGGTTTGACTGTCACTTTCATAAAACACCCTTGGCGGTAACGGGGTGTGAATCACGGATCCACAGTCTGGCAAACCAGCCACTGGACCGCGCTTGGTTCTTATACAGGTGAAACAGGACGTTAATTAAAAACTCCGATTAGTGAACATAAATCACCAGTTAAAAATGAAAATATTTTGACTCTGCCGTTATTAACTACGTTTCTTTTACTGATCACAGTATGAAATGGGATAAAATTAAAAGTATCGATATAGTCTACAGCTTTACTACCACAAGTTAAATACATAATGGAAAAAATTATTTTGTGTTGTGTTTGAATTCTGAGCCATAATTTAAATTATCAGTAGACATGAGAATCATTATGCTGATTTAATTTTTCATTGAATTTGAATACAAAAGCAAAATGTTCTATTTCCCATATTTTTAAGCTTATTTTCATAATTTTACTGAAAAGTATAAATTACTTTTGGGGTTTTCCATATTCACAAACCTACCGTTACAATTGTAATTATACTAATATTGTGAAGCGATAACCTACGAACATTGTATTACATAATATAAAAGATATAATTCATTACATGAAATATTTGATAACTTCATTCGGTTATAAAGAGTTAATAATCATTATATTAGTGAAGTAAAAAACAATAATAATCAGTAACTGCTGTTAATCTAGAAAAAAATATGTTTCTAACTTCATTGTACAGTTTCCACAAAACGAGAGTACACGTGCACTAACGGCCTGTTTGTTTTTTGAATTTCGCGCAAAGTTACACGCGTGCTATCTGCACTAGCCGTTCCTAATTTAGCTGTGTAAGACTAGAGGAAAGGCAGCTAGTCATCCCTACCCACCGCCTACTCTTTTTACCAACGAATTGTGGGATTGACCGTCACATTATAACGCCCCCACGGCTAAAAGGTCGAGTATGTTTGTTGGGATGGGGATTTGAACCCGCGACCCTCAGATTACGAGGCAAGCGCCCTAACCATCTAGCCATGCCGGGCCGTGCATTAACGGCCAGTAAGAAAGTTTCATCTAAAGATGTTAACATAAATAAATTAATTATGGATTTTTTGTGTGCAAATTTTTTAATTTGGCAAACTAACAGTCCTTTAAAAGAAATGGAATTATTCTTAGCACTCATTAGAAGAATGGTCATATTTCATGAAGTTAGGTTTTAATTGAACTAAAACTTTTCTATCTTGAAATATTTGGATTAATTAGTAGTTATTCTTTATCTTGGAGAGGTAGATATAAGATGAAAGCTTTATGAAAATACAAGTATGTCATTATTATATTTTATGAAGATCAGCATATTATAAACAAATATTAAACCATGACTTGCGCCCACACCCTGTCCTCCCTGTTTATAAACATTTGTTCTTTTCGTAAATTTTGGGCAAGCTACCTAGAGGTTACTTATTGCATATTTATGTATAACTGACCCTCACGTTTACGATTTATAATTACGGTAGATATTAAGTAATATATCCCTCCTATATTGTTTTTTTTTTAAGAATAACACTACGATAGCAATTAACTAATATTTTCCCACCATATGAGCTTCTAATATATAAAGAATAACACTACTGTAGCTATTAACAAATATTTTCCCACTATACGGGTTTATTATATGTCATGAACCACGACAGTAGTTCATAATAGGGATCGCCCAGGAATTCCGCAAAAATTCTAATAGAACATACGGGCAAAAATTATCTCAAAAAGCAGACTTGTTCATGAAACAACTGAAGATCTTCTATATTAATGGCTAAGGGTGCTAAAATATTGATAATAGCAAAAAAAGTTGATTTTACGATTGTTAGAAAAATTCAAAATTCATGCATTTGTTCTTCATATTATTATTATTATTCATATTATTCTTTTTACAAGCCTACAGAAAAAACGGCTATGAATATTTTATTTAAACCTGAACAAATCTAATACAAAAACTCCTTTGCAGGTCATAGGACTATTTTTACGTTGATTCTTGAAAGAGAAGGAGAGATTTTATCACCTTTTTTATCGTTACTGGCTAAGTTTTTCTTCGAAGCTATTCAAGAACTGAAGCCTACAGCAAAACCAGTTAGGTATATTGCGTCAAAATCTACACACACAGCTACTAAACAAACTCCTGCGAAGGTTGTATGTACATGTATATTCTTAAGTTGATTCTTGAAAGTCTTCTTTGCTACCAACATAAGTTTGTCAAAGCCATTCAAGCATCGCAGATATGTAGAAGCCATTTAAGCACCATTATACTATTCAGAAATGCTCCATTTTATAGTAATCGGAAATGCTTCGATTTATTAGAATAAACAATGTGTATATTTATAACAGTGTCTCCAGCATTATTATTACTGATTAGTTTTACAATCCGCTACAGAAAAATCAGCTACGAATATTTTACTGCAACCTGGACAATAGTAATGAATGCAGTATTGATTATGTCAAAGGGTAGTTTTAAAATAAATTGAAGCACCTTCGTTTTTTCGCCCTGAAGAATTTCTCTAAGTCTTTTACTTTCCGCCATTGAAAAAATCCGGTGTTTTACTAATACACATTAATTAGAAAATAATTTGTGAACTTATAGCGCATTAAGCGGAAACTGCCACATTGAGGATTCATCATTTCTCGAGTTCGCTGTTCTTCATTGTTTCTGGAGTTCACTGTTGTACTTTGTCGTACATGGTTTTTGGGACTATTTCATTGAGTTTTCTCACAATAGACGATTACCATAGTATATTTCTCTAATTTTGTGAGTGGTTATTTACTCTACTGATTTTCGTACTTCGCTGAAATTATGAGTGCGTAATATCAGTATTATTATTATTATATTATTCATTTGTTTCACAAGACTATAGCAAAATCGGCTGGGGTACTTTGCACCAAAAATTAGACACATATACTATTTGCAATGCTGTGAATATTCGTGACCTATTTAAAAAGTTTATTATTTTTTATTGAAAGTTGATTTTTTATGTGGCTATAAATAAATAATATATGCGATGTTGTTGTTAGCAGCTTCTTTTGTACTCTACGCTTGTTAAACTCGCGTTTATACGAAACTTCAGGCACAGTAAATAATGGTTGATTGGAAAAAAGCCAATGCAGCAGTAAACTGTTGTAACATTCAACTGAATGCATATGCACGTATGTAGCTTAAAATTTATTCTCCATGAACAGTCATAAAAAAAATAAGAAACGAAATTAGTAAAAATTGTTAATTTAAAAAGGGGGGAATTGTGATCGTCAAAAAAATACAGAAACAAGTTGTATCAAAATGCAGAGATTATATTTTGAAACCTACAACTAGAGACTCTAAAAAATGTAATCAAACTAGGCTGGAAATAATATAGACACTATTTCCAGCCTATTTTGCTTAATTTTTAGAGTCCCTAGTTGTACGCATGTATGTTTGTTTGTTTGGAATTAACCACAAAGCTACACAATGGGCTATCTGTGCTCTGCCCACCACGGTATCGAAACACGGTTTCTGAGTTGTAAGTCCGCAGATATACCGTTGTGCCACTGGGGGGGGGGGGCTGTAGGCATGTAAATATAATCTTTGCATTTCGATTCAACTTGTTTTTGTACTTTTTTTCACGATCCCTACTTCGCTGTTTAGATTAATAAGTTTACTTATCTTGTTTGTTTTAGATTTCGCGCAAAGCTACACGAGGGCTATCTGCGTTAGCCGTCCTTAATTTAGGAGTGTAAGACTAGAGGGAAGGCAACTAGTCATCACCACCCACCGCCACTCTTGGGCTACTGTTTTACCAACGAACAGTGGGATTGACCGTCACATTATAACGCCCCACGGCTGAAAGGGCGAGCATGTTTGATATGAGGGGGATTCGAACCCGAGACCCACAGATTGCGAGTCGAGTGCCCTAACCACTTGGCCATGCCGGGCTACTTATTTTGTATAGAATAACACTACGGTAGCTATTAACTAATATTTTCCATCTATTTGGAATTACTATATATAAAGAATAACACTACTTTAGGTACTAACTAATGTTTTCCCACTATATGGGTTTATTACATATAAAGAATAACACTACAGCATAGGCATACGTTTAATTACTATTACGTAGTTACAAGTTTTACTTGTAGCCAAATGAAAACTATTCGATAAACATGTTTATCTGGGATTTGAGATTATTTCACGTGAACAAAATCGTTCTAGTAATTTTCATACATCTAAAATGCTATATAACATAAAAGTGATATCGTGATGGTCATAAAGAATATTTGTTGGAAACACATATGCACATTGTTAATTGCATTTGTTATATACTATATATATAGTTGGTTTTAAATGTCATTATCAAAAATAAAGTATAACTTACCCAAGCTGACAAAGCATGACTGCAATACATTTTGAAGTATGGTGTCTTCAACTTTCCCCAAAACGTGCTGTCTAAAATGATAAGATTATTATGAACCATAAACTGAATTTTAAGTGGGTTAAAAACGAATTTTTCTGCAATGATATATGTTGTGATACTTGCATAATATCCTTCTAGAATTTTAACCGCGACGTATTCGAAGCACATAATTGTAGATGTACTGTACAAACAAAACCAATACACACAGAAAATATAATCCTATCACTTGAGCATAAATTAGACAAATCATCATTTTGTAGTATACTAACTTCAAAGGAATAAGTCATTTAATGTGAATGAATACAGATAAAATGTGTTATTAACTTGAAAAATAAATAAACATTAGTGTCTAGAATGTAGCAGCAGCTTGTGTGAATTGTTTTGTTTATACTATGAAATTAATGTGTAATGTGACAAGATTTTAATGGAATAATAATAACAATGATGTTATCATCACTAAATTAAACGTGAATTTGTTTTCCAGTGTGGAATTATGAACATTATTTTTCGGTGTTGTAAAACAAAAGCCAATTTTAGAGACTGTTTGTTAGAATATTATATTATTGCTGTCTGAAGAAGTTCGACTAATATTCGTCCTTATTATATTTATATGTTGGAGCAGTTACGGTAGTTAATGAGTAAGATTCGTGTGCTAGGCTACATATTCTATTAGTAAATCACACATGTGCAAAATGGGAATATATTTAGTCAGTTAGACTTTCTAGTTAGGTTTTTGTTTGCAATGAGTCTCATACACACTTACATGTGTTAATATATTATATTACCGAAAATCGTTCATGTTGATCGCACAAAGGTGTAGTTTCGTCTGACCAGTTGCAGACAAAGTACGTGTTTGGCGTGGTAGAACGTAGCATTTAATTGGCCATTAAGAAGATTTGCATAAGGAACAAAGGCCAAAACTTCAGATATTGTACAAAGTCTCAAACGTCGTTAGGAAAGACAATATTAAGAATAGATGTTCACGGATGAACTGCATTCGGATTCATGACTTTATTGGTCAGAAGGTTCCTTACGAGTAGCACCAAATACCACCAGAATTGCAATTAATTCCACTAATTATTGCTGAGATTTCCTATGTATATAAATTGGGTGATTTAAACCTATATTTTCTACACTGAGTGTTGTAACAGACATAAACATACGACAAATCTGTATGATGATATAAACCTCATTGGCAATGTAGGGTATATAACGACTTCGGTAATTTGAGGGTTAATTGTTGGGGTATGGTCGACTGTATTGATTGTATTTTTTTAATAGCTGATTTTTGTACTTTGGAGTAATATTGGTATTTTTCTTGTATCTTTTTATACTAGTGGAAGCTTTTGAATAGATTCACTTAAGGACGATAATATATTCTTTGGGTTGTACGTGACCTGTTATTTACGTATCCATAAATTATTTCGTAATTTAGTAAAATAGTTTATTGGAAAGTCATCTGTAGCTATTAAAGAACATAAAGAAGACGAATAAGGCAATGACCGAGTAATTGTTGTTGCACCAAAGCCAGAAACATTGTATTCATCTACTGAAACCATACATATATATGTGTGTGTAGGGTCTTTAACGTACCTCTTAAGGCTACAAATTCATTGGAAGGACCGGTCTTTTAAGTCACGTTAATTTTTATTTCTTAATAATTTAATGTGCACATGTACAGTGACGCCTAACTTAGTATAAAAGTGAGAGGTCATGCGCTACTTTACTTCTGCCCCCTCCCCTCCCCCGGTAGGCGCCTTTGCTTGCACTGCAAGTAAATATTATTTTATTTGCGTTTTTCAGACGAGATAATAAATGGAACACAACGAACACACAGGTAGTTTTAAAAGATCGTTAAACATTACACACACACTCACACATATTTATTTTAATTTAATAAAGGATTTCGTTCTTTTTTATGCGATCAGTGGTGTTTAAATAAAATAGTACATTTTTACAGTGTATAGTTCCAAATAACCTACATAACTCTGAAGAAAGGTAATATATCATATCAGTCATGCTCTCACCCTCATATCTTGAAGTTGAGTGTGTTTTTAAGCAAATACCTGTTCCTCAGAAGTGTTATGTAATTTACATAGTCTTAGTTTTAGAAGATTGAAGTATCTTAGTAATGAACGTGAGATTAAGATGGCCTTCCTATTTATAATTTCAAACTATTTTATTCTAACATTTTTCCGCTGGAAATAATGCTAATTTTAATATTTTAGTGGCTACCATTATGAGGTATCACAATTATCATTGTATATGACGCGGACCTTGACCTAGTTTCATTATTATCTTATCAATTGATAAAACTAAGCCTTATTTCCAACACAATATTTTATATACTCCACAGTCTTCCAAAAAGATCACTTTAAAGATATTATAAAAACACAGTTAACAATAAATAATACACTAACTTAATAATTGATACAGTAAAAATGTTTTATATTTCTATGTGAGGTGCGAAACAAAATCATACATAGTGAATCTACGAAGAAACTGTAAATAGCGTTTTTTACTTAAGCTTGAAAAGTTGTCTTTATGTATATAATTTGGATTTCCGCTGCGTACTGCTACATAAGACATTCTAAAATTAAAAATCTGACAGAGTAAAATATAGTCAAACAAAAACATGTATAAATAAACAGAAACTTACCCGCTGGATTTTCGGTTTCAAGAAGAGGGGTTGTCTCTTCATTCTCAGCCATGTTGAAAGGTTGCTTTTTTTTTGAAACTTACAATTATTATGTTTTTATATATAATACGACAATTAAAATATCTGTGCTGCTTTATTAAGTAGCATTATTTTTCAAACTTTTGGTAACAATACATCTCAGTTGGAAAACTACCATGAAGTATATTTCCTATAAATAATACTCAGTTTACGTTAGATTAACTTAACAATAAGTTATCCGTGTTTGATTTTTGCATTGAGTCTTATCTATCTATAAATGACTATATTTTAGTTGTTTATCATTTAAAGAGAAGGTTTCAGGAGTTGTTTTATTCCCAGCAATTTAAGAAACGATAAAATTGTCATATATAATGATTGCATTTCAAGTTCTTTGATATCCGCTGTTTACTTTTATCTGATTAAGTAACTCTAGTTTAAATAGACGTAAGAAATTTTTTAATAAAGCACGAGTTTTTAACTAAACTGTTTGTTGTTTTAGAGCAAAGCCATATTGAGCTATCTGCTGTGTCCACCACGGGGGAATTGAACTCCGGATTTTAGTGTTGTAAGGGGACTTTAACTATACTAATTGCACAATAACCATTTCCCAATCAGTTGACTCCTAATATATTATTGTATGAAAGATATACAGGGAGGGAAAGGGAAAAAACTACTTATGGTTCGTATTGAAAGTCTGGACAGATGAGTTATCATAATTTGAATTTGACTTCAAATAGCATCTAATATTTTCAAATCACTCTGAAAATCAACCTATTTTCTACATTATATTACTTAGTAGATTTTAATAATAGACCGATCCCTCCAGAAACCGATATTTGTAAAACTTTACAAGAGCCAACTGTCACTTCACAAAGTCAGAAGAGTAGGAACAAAGAATGAGGAGCAAGGACTCTGGTTCCCGATCATTTTGGAAGAGGCCAGCGTATGCCCCTCTCCCACAATATTTTAAAACAATTTGTGTCTCAGAGAAAGAGAGAGAATGGACGATTGTGTCTCTGTGGTTATACAGGAAAAAATATAATTTATCTGATGTAGGGAAAGCCATGCCGCTCACAGGCATGTTGTTTCGACAGGTACGTGAGAAACAGGGCGTGTCACACCTAATCAGTGTTGGTCCCCGACCATTACTAAACACCATCCCACCAACTAAAAGTTAGAAACTATTTCAGCTTATGGCGACTCAGAAATCAAATGTGACAATACTTAAACTCTGGATCCACTCAAACAGACTATATAAATTACAATGTATCAGTTAATTTATTATTTAATTATTGCATCATTCTGTAAAACTAAAACAATGTAGGTCTAAAACCAAATGCATACCGATTTGATCTATGATACACAAACAAGGATTTTTGTTTAACTGTAACTAATAATAACACAAATACAGGACTTCAGGAGTCCAATTGTTAGATTTAAAATGAATCTGAAAGGGTGACAAACATCAGATCGAGCATTAAGCTTATTTAATTTATACCCTTAGGCCTTAGAAACTACACGTACAATGGCAGATAAGAAAATAAGCAAAGATTGGAAAGTAAATAATTAAATTAACTTAAGGGTAAAAAAATATGACAATATTCTATAAGTATATCTAATACAAAATAATTGTCATACCTTAAAATAAAAAAGGAGATCCTTTTGTTGCAAAGACACTATTTTCTATAAGAAACTGTGTTTTTATGACTATGAGTACATAATATCATTCTGACTATCAGACGCTTCGTCATAAGAGGCGTGTTGCTACTACTACACTTTCTAATCCACTCAGTTCTTTCACAACTACTAATTACAAACAAACTAGTTCCCGTCACGTGAACACCTTATTCGTAGACGATACTCGTACAAATGTTTTGAGCTCCAAAAAACGAAGTTTGCCTAACATTGTGTAAACTGGTGTTCGTAATGTCACTGCCTATTTTGTCTCAAATCGATTCGTATCATTAAAGAACCACAATTCGATAAAGCTAGGCAAAGAGTGGATAGAGACTGTTAGATTTTGCTGTAATAAAAACATGATAAGGAAACCTTTAGTTTGTAGGATTTCGCGCAACACTACACGAAGGCTACATGCGCTAGCCGTCCTTAATCTTTGAAGTGATAAACTAGAGGGAACGCAGCTAGTTAACACTACCCACCTCCAACGCGTGGGCTATTTTAATCGAATGCTGGGACTTCCAATCCCAAAGGTGGAAACACGATTTACTAAATACATTTGAAAATTATGCTAAAATAGACCACTACTTTTCAGTAATAAACGGCTTAAATGGTTATTTAAGACTTTTAACTTTCCTTTTATTTTTATTAAGTCATGTTATCGGTATTAACCGAGGCATAATATTGTTACGTCTCCGTTTGTTAGTTGATTTTCCGTAAATTCGTTCCGACGAAACTTTAGCGACACAAGTCCTTACTTAATAAAACTGGTTTATTCTTTCCGAATATAACTTTACAATACACTTAATTTCAACAATCGCGCTAAAACAAACGCTATAACAACGAACGTGCTCAATAATACTCTCTGACTGCAGATCAATTACTCACTGTCTACACACATATTAATTCGTCACGTTGTCACCCTCTTATATATATACCAGGCTACCCTATATCTAGTAATCTCCCGTCTATTCCCGAAGGTTCGAGAGAAGTGGCGTGACATTAGTCACGTGACCTCGCTCACGCAACAATATATATATATATATAAACATAAAGAATAATATGTATAACAACTCTTGAACATTCTGTAGCGAAGGTAGAAAATATGAAGGTAAAAACCTCTGCAGAAGAACGAAGTATAAAGTGACAGGGAAACATCGTCTGGCCCCCAGTGGCACAGCGGTATGTCTGCGGACTTACAACGCTAGAAACCGGGTTTCGATACCCGTGGTGGGCAGAGTACAGATAGCCCTTGTGTAGCTTTGTGCATAATTAAAGACAAACATCGTCTGTCAGGTAGCCACGGACATTTCAGTTTGCAGGATGTAAATCCTCGTCATCATAATCAATAGCAAACAGCTATGGTAATTTGCGTTGTTAAAGGTTCAGCACCAAGAACCGTTAATGAGTTAACCCTTCAGCTCAGGTCAGTGGCGTTGCAAGAGGGGGCAATGGGGGGGGGGGCTTCACACGTGCGAAATTATTGTTTGCCAGCAATTCGTAGAAACAAATACTATGGTATTCTGTTTGATTCCACATCTGATTTACCCCATCGTGAGCAATTGGCCCAAGTGATTCGGTTTATTGACATTGACTTTAAGACAAGAAAAGTAGAAGTCAAATAGTAATTTATTGACTTTATACAGATAAGGAAAAAGACGCTGCCAATACTGAGAAAACAATAAGCACAAAATTAGAAGCGGATGGAATTTTATTGAGTGATTGTTGTTCACAATGTTATGATAATGCTTTCATCTGTCAGGCGTTCAACAAAGAATTCTGAACAAAAATCCAAAAACAGTGTTTATAAACTGTGACAACCATAGTTTGAACTTAGCATGTCTTCATGCTGCAAGTCAGGAAACAACAGTTATTACCTTTTTTGGTATAATTGAAGCCATTTATAATTTCTTTGCTCACTCAACAACTCGATGGGACGAACTGCAGCAGGATCTTAAGATCTCTGTGAATCAGAAACACGGTGGAGTGCAAGAAAAAAATCAGTAAAAGTTGTACATGAAAACTGGATGAATTGCTAGGACTGTTAGAGCAATTAAGTGAGAATGGCAACACGGCTGAAACAAAATGTGGTACTCATAATATTCTGCAACTCATGCTTACATTTGATTTTTTTGTACTTTGGCATTTTTGGAGAAATTTTTTATCATCTATCAATCGAGTGCAGAAACGTCTTCAGAACCCAAAAATTAATTTTGGAAAAGCAGCTGCTGATCTGGATTCTTTGAAAGAGGATTTGACAGAATCACATGAAAAGTCCTGTCAAGAAGCACTTAAAATGGGCAAGAATCAATGTGAAACATGGAGATTGACCATTGAAAGAAGAAAAATACGTCGTAAACGAATGCCAGGTGAAAATGCAGCTGATGCTGGATTGACTGCTGAACAGGAAATTTATCGCATCATGAAGGGTGTTATTGATCGCTTGATTACAGAAATAACAGATTTTCTCGCTCATTAGATTTAGATTCACGGTTTGTATTTCCACTAGATGTGCAAAATATTGTTTCTGGAGATTTCGAAGGCGGAAAATTGCAAGAAAAATGTTCTAACTTAGCAAAGAGCTATCCAGGTGATATTGATGGACCAGAATTGTACAGAGAAAGTAAAGACTGTAGAATGTTGGTAAGTAAAAGAACACAGACCGATTTTCTTGAAACAATGGTTGCAACTGATTTGTTAACATATATAATTTTATATGGTGAAGATGTTTTCCCAAATTTAAGAATT